TTCTTTCATAAGATACCATAACACACAGTATAGGCAAGCTAACAATTATACCCCAAAACACTCTCTGCTACTTCTATCGAGAGTGGGGATACTACAAGTGTAAGACTATCTGCACAGAGGGCTCCAAAATCTAAGGAGCACCTTCAGGCTTGTAAGAGGCATATAGTAAATTGTGCATCTATTTTTCCCAACTACCTATCTCATTTTTGAAGGCCCTGGTTTGCCAGGACAGTAGAAACACCAACAAAATTACAACATTTTCGAAAGCACACCCTAAAGGTATTATTAATGATTATGATGGGTATTTTAAAGATTTTTAGTTTTCTGGCACAAGTTTTTGGAAAATGCAGAAAGAAAGTGTAAATTAATTTTTCTTTCTGCATTTTTCCAAAACTTGTGGCAAAAAATACATTTTCAAAAGACTCGCTATGCCTCTTAAAAAACACTTTGGGATGTTAACTCTCCAAAATGTAGTCATTATGTGGGTGTTTCTATTGACCTTGTCTAGTGCCTCCAAAAATGAGATAGTCATGAAATTAGATGCATATTTATGTCCCTTGCAAGCTTGAAGGTGCTACTTGGGTTTTGGGCCTCGCTGTGTGGCTAGTATGCAAGAAAGTCCAACATATGGTATCCCACCCATCCATGGGAGGAGTAGCATAATGGATTTTGAGGTGTAATACCAAGTGTGTACATGCTGCTTGTTAGGATATCTTGTTCGAAATCTTATTGACAACTTTGTGTAAAAATATTTTTTTTAAAGTTGTAATTTAAAAAGATATTACTAATACACATTGTCAAACTTAGAATCTCACCTCAGAACACATTTTACTACTCCTCTCGAGTATGGGGATACCACATATGAAAATGTTTTTAATGTTTGGACTGAATATGTACCAAACATTGCATTTTGTGTATCACAAAATCAACCAACACTGTATCAAAAACAGTGTACTGTAATGCTCATCTCTACAAATGGTCAAGGAATACATCTGTAGCAGACCCTATACCTATAGGCCATGCAAACCTATCCCACCGGTGCAAGGCTACCACCAAGAATGCCATGTACACTGGTCAGGAAATGCAGAATGCTGAAAAAGGGTGAACAAAAGAGTTACTCTGGTTCCAGGAGTGCAGTTGTCCGTAGGTAGCTGGGACTGGTGTCTTGCAGGAATGTAGTATGTGGGACAAGCAGATGGGGCACTTCAGATGGCAGGCAGAGACATTTTTAATAAGCAGGCCAGGGTCAATAGATGATCAGGAACACTGTTGCTAGCCGCACTGGCTTGTGACATTGTTCTGATGTGATGGTGGTCAGGAACAGTGTTGATGGCAGTATTGGCTCTGTTGATGGCTGTACTGGCTCCGGTGACACTAACTGTTGCTGGCTTATACTGGTCTGGTGGTGATCAGCTGATGGCTGCACTGGTGTGGTGGCAATCGGGAACACTGTTGCTGGCTTACACTGGTCTGGTGACATTGGGACTGGCTTGGCTAGCGAATGGGAACACGATCGCTGAGTGGTCTGGTGATGATCAGAAACACTGTTGCTGGCTGCACTGGTCTGGAGTGGAGAGAATCAGCAACACTGCTACTGGTATACACTGGGAATCGTGTGGCAGTGATTAGGAATACTGTTGCTGGCTTACACTGGTCTGATGAAACTGTGACTGGTGTGGCTAGTGATCAGAACCACTGGCTGGCTGAACTGTCAAATCGTGATATCAGAGCAGCCAGTTATTGTATCTAATCACTAGCCACAGTATTATAGTCACATTGCACTACTCTGGTGACTGCCTTATTTTTATTTTTTTTACCCACCGACTCTGTCCTACAATCCACTGTAAGAGGAAATGGAGCAGAGGCTGGAACATACAGCCTTTGACTGGCCACAGAAATCACATGGTACAGAGCCAATTTAATTTGCACTGTACCTTGAAGTACAGCTGGCACACAGTTTATTAAAAAAAAAAAAAAAAAAAAAAAACACCACCACAAACACCCTAACCGATTCCTTCATCCATACATATGAAGTGGATGGAGGAACCTCCAAGAGGACATTATATTCTGACAGTGGCACCCACTGCTGTAAGATCACACTGATCAGCTGCTGTAACTTATTGCCTGCAGACACTGATTGACAGAAAATTTTAAAACATGTCCCTTTGAACGACATCGCTTAAGCAATGGACTTCTGTCGAAACTCCAGTGAAACACTGGATCCCCTACTCCCAACACCTGCTCATTTACCTTGTTCGGGACCCACAACCTGGTGTTGTATCCCTTAGCGTGGCTCTCCTCCCTGCAATGAACTCTATACTGACAGTACGGACTGCTTGGTGCAGGATTCAAATCATCCAAATTGATTGGTCTATTTCAGTGTTGGAACAATTGGTGCGCAACAGGAGAGTCATGCCAAAGGCAGCAATACCGGATTGTGGGTGCTGTACAAGGTAAGTGCACAGGAGGTGGGAGTAGGGGTTCCCACAATTACCCTTGCAATAATATTTCAGAAACTTGGACTATGCCATAAGAACTGAAATGTTTTGTATGGTGCTTTGACATAAAATTCTTAAATTTTAGAACAAGGTTTGAGCAGACGCTGAAGGCTGCTGCTCAACAGACAGAACTGACAGAGGAAAATATGTCTGGCTAGAGCGGAGCCCCACCACAGGCCAGTCTAGAAAGCATCATCCACACACATGGGATCTGTCGTCTTTTCCTTACAGGCCTATGGAGTCAAACAAGCAAATATAATGACGTTTATAAACTAATAAATTATGTATGTATTGTAGCACAGGGATCCTTGGCAATCCCTTCTTGGATGCCATCTGCATGGAGTTTGCATGCATCTCCTTCTGGTTTTCTCCCACACTGCAAAAACATGCTGGTAGGCAATTGCCTCCAGTCTAAAAGAGCATAGTATGGTTGTGAAACATATGCTCCTTGAGGGGTACATGTGTTGATGGCTTAATGTAAATGAAAAAACCCAAAAAAACCAAACCACACCCCATAGATGTGTGGAAGTCCCAAAAACTTAATGGAAAGGGTCAGCGTTCAGTAGTACACACAGCAAGGAAATGTACTACATTTTCTCCTCTGTGTGCTACAGCACTGTCTCAGTAGCTTTTCTTAAGCTGACCCCAGGGTGAATGTATCTATGGCTGCCTGCAAGGCACATCTACCTCAAAGAGACAGCAAGTGGCCCATATGTATTTCTCTAATCAAGGTATCCCTGGCGGTCTGATTATGTCAATATTTTTGAATGTCAAAGCGGTACACTGTTTTGCATGAAAATTTCAGTGTCTGATGACGAATTTCCCCACGAACCACTATCACGCAATTCTACTTCACGAACGCTGTTTTCTAGCTGGTCTAAAACCATGGACGTTCTCAAGTTTCCAGGAAGAAGAAACGGTAAAAGCGCAGGCAGGGCAGTGTACAAAGTGCTAGGGACAAAACTGAGGTGAGGTGGTTTGATACAGTAATGTAATTCTAACAGATCACAATGTATTATGTGGATGTCATGTTTTTACTTTTTTGACTCTCCCGCCGGTTCCACCCCCCTGCGTTGAGGTGCTCACAGGGAACCGAACCCGGAATCAGCTGGAGGACACAGTGGGAGGACATTGGGGGATCGCAGGGACAAGGTAAGTTACACTACACACACTACAGTGTAATCCTGAGTGTAGCTCGGGGTTATCGCTTTTGGTACTGAAAATGAACCCCCGAGCCACACTTGGGATTACCGCCAGGGAGGTTAAATTACTGGGCTGTCACAATATTTCTAGAACCACAAGCTATTTTTTTCATTGCACTGACATGAATGTTTTTTCCCCCCACTGAACTGTGGCTTGATGGCTACTGCTGTCAGTCTCTGAAGCAGTGCACAGTTTGCTGCACACGAGTAAGCAGAATGCTGAACTGCAAGCCAGGGATGATAATAAATACACAAATCTTTAGGCCTGCAAGTCAGTTCATCTAAAAGACCTTCCAGCTTTGGAGATACACATTACTACCCCCCCTATCTCAACTCAGTCAGGGTACTTCACTCCTGAGCTATGTTCCAGTATGGCCCTTCCCACCACACCTATGCATCCCTACCCACCTTACTTCCCTCCTCCCCTCCAGCAATCATGAAACCCATTTTTTGTCCCATGATCTGTTCTCCCCCAACCCCCTGTGAAACATTCTCAGTTCCCCATTGATTTAACCCAGCCCTATGATGCCACAACACGCTCATTACCGCTATCAAAACTCATGAATTTCTAATTCCATGGAAAGTTTTATTTTTGCAATACTTTGTTTAATATAACTTTGTTTTTGATGGTTTTGAGGAACATGGTATTTTAGTTCAAATATCTTTAATTTAAATTTTTCAGCAAAACAGAACATGAAGGGTCAACAACAATAACATTAAAAATCATGACCTGTAACAGAGTAATCCAATATAATGTAATTGCCAAGGGAAAGAAAGGAGTTGCGAACCCCCCGAAGGAGGGTTGGGGGATGGAAGGGAAGAAGCCCAGGCCTAGAATGGTGTCCAATGTCTAATAAATGATCATGGAGAAGAGTGTTCTGCCTGTCCCATATAGGACAACTTACACATAGGGATTAACCACTTCTCTCAGTGGGTTCTGGGTCCATTTCTTAGATTAAAAGGGCATACTGAGACACTGCCTCATGGCAGCAAGAGTGGCCTGCCACATTTTAGAATCAGGCCAGATTTTGAATGACAATGGAGACAGTACCTATTTTTCACTGTCATTACTAGGTGGACATTTTGGAGGGATCATCACCATAATTAGATTTGTTTACATTTTCTTTAAACTCTCTAGCTGTTTGTAATAAGGATTGTGTCACAGCTGATATTCAGAACAAAAGAGCGATAGGCATAACTGCCTGTCCCCACTGTGTGCTGAAGAACTGCAGGAACAGCATTAAAAGGGAGGATTAAACAGAAGTGTTTTCATAGGTGTGGAAACGCAAATTATATTTATTCATCCTGCAAAGAGACCTTTCCCTTCTGCGGATACAAAGAAATTTGCAAAAGCATTTCTAATGTTCATGGCATAGCTAGTAGGCTTCAAGTCCACAAAGTGCACGCCTTGAGCAGTGTTTCGGGGAACAGGGTATGAAGATCTTCTCTCTCCTTTTCCAGGACAAAATTGTGCAGCAGACAGCTAGCCCGTACCACATTCATGGCATTCTCCACATTCAGCTGCATTTCGGACTGGAGTATACGCCATTTAGTGGTGCAGATTTCAAAAGCGCAATCCACCACCTGATGTGCTTGGCTCAGACGGTGGTTGAATATCCTCTCTTTATCAGCAAGTCCATGCCCACTGTAGGGGCACATTAGGTTCTCCGTCAGTCCAAAGGTCTCATCTGCCACAATCACATGTGGCAGACTTGGCTCCATTGTACAAGGCAGAGGCTTCCTAGGTGGGATCTTTAAGCCCCCTTCATACAGCCTACGTCCCATTGCAGACTCCCTGAATATACTGGAATCTTTTGAATTTCCATGAGCTTCAACATCAATGCCAACAAAACGATAGTAGGCATCCACCAAACCCAGGACGACAATCGAGACATTTTTTGAATGCGTTGACCCCAAGTTTGGGGGCATCTTCACCCTAACATGCCTGCAACCCAGGGCTCCAATGCAGTTGGGAAACTCCTTCAACATCCAGAACTCATCTTCCACGTCTTTCCACAGCTGCTTTGTAGGCTCTGGCATTACAACCGGATGCAGCTCCTCCCACAGTGCCAGGCAAGTTTCATGGGTCACCTTGGCCACTGTACTCACACCTAGTTGAAAATAGTGGTGGAGCGACGCAAACGACTGTCCTGATGCCAGAAATCTGAAACATCAAATGCAATACAAAAACCAGACTTTCAATAAAAATAGCTATAATACACAAACACACACACACACCTCAAAAGGAATTCCAAAAGGAGTGTGGAGATTTTTACTACTCTGAGCCCATTTCCCATATCTAGCTATATCATTCATTTATTCTACGGCTACTTGGAAAAGGAAATCTAGAAGGTGAATGGTTGCTATGGGCAACTATACCTAATCTGTTGATAATGTTGCTTTGTTCTTTTTTTTAATTATGTAATATCTTATATGCTGTCCAATAGGGAAAACATTCTGGGGAAAATTAATATACAGAAAACCTGAAACCACAAAAGTTGCCTATCCCTAGTATATACTGAACTGTTCCTGTATAGTAAATGGCTATATATGTGAAATTATATAGAGATAAATTGGGTATTAACTGTTCCAGTTGCCCAAAACAAGGAATCAGAACTTAGCTTTCATTTTATTTTCTGCAGCATTGAGAAGGTAAGCTAGGAACTGATATATTGCTACAGGCAACTGGAACAGTTCAGCTGTTATTCCCTAATATCTATATACAGTGGGGCAAAAAAGTATTTAGTCAGCCACCAATTGTGCAAGTTCTCCCACTTAAAAAGATGAGAGGTCTGTAATTGGCATCATTGGTAGACCTCAACTATGAGAGACAAAATGAGAAAACTAACCAGACAATCACATTGGCTGATTTGGAAATAATTTATTTGCAAATTATGGTGGAAAATAAGTATTTGGTCACCTACAAAAAAGCAAGATTTCTGGCTCTCTCACAGACCTGTACCTTCTTCTTTAAGAGGCTCCTCTGTCCTGCACTCATTACCTGTATCAATGGCACCTGTTTGAACTTGTTATCAGTATAAAAGACACCTGTCCACAACCTCAAACAGTCACACTCCAAACTCCACTATGGTGAAGACCAAAGAGCTGTCGAAGGACACCAGTAACAAAATTGTAGACCTGCATCAGGCTGGGAAGACTGAATCTGCAATAGGCAAGCAGCTTGGTGTGAACAAATCAACTGTGGGAGCAATAATTAGAAAATGGAAGACATACAAGACCACTGATAATCTCCCTCGATCTGGGGCTCCACGCAAGATCTCACCCTGTGGGGTCAAAATGATCACAAGAACGGTGAGCAAAAATCCCAGGACCACACGGGGGGACCTAGTGAATGACCTGCAGAGAGCTGGGACCAACATAACAAAGGCTACCATCAGTAACACACTACGTCGCCAGGGACTCAGATCCTGCAGTGCCAGACGTGTCCCCTGCTTAAGCCAATACATGTCCGGGCCAGTCTGAAGTTTGCTAGAGAACATTTGGATGATCCAAAAGAGGATTGGGAGAATGTCATATGGTCAGATGAAACCAAAATAGAACTGTTTGGTAAAAACACAATTCGTCGTGTTTGGAGGAGAGAGAATGCTGAGTTGCATCCAAAGAACACCATACCTACTGTGAAGCATGGGGGTGGCAACATCATGCTTTGGGGCTGTTTCTCCGCAAAGGGACCAGGACGACTGATCCATGTACAGGACAGATTGAATGGGGCCATGTATCGTAAGATTTTGAGTGCAAACCTCCTTCCATCAGCAAGAGCATTGAAGATGAAACGTGGCTGGGTCTTCCAACATGACCATGATCCCAAACATGCCGCCCCGGGCAAAGAAGGAGTGGCTTTGTAAGAAGCATTTCAAGGTCCTGGAGTGGCCTAGCCAGTCTCCAGATCTCAACCCCATAGAAAACCTTTGGAGGGAGTTGAAAGTCCATGTTGCCCAGCGACAGCCACAAAACATCACTGCTTTAGAGGAGATCTGCATGGAGGATGGGCCAACATACCAGCAACAGTGTGTGCCAACCTTGTGAAGACTAACAGGAAACATTTGACCTCTGTCATTGCCAACAAAGGATATATAACAAAGTATTGAGATGAACTTTTGATATTGACCATATACTTATTTTCCACCATAATTTGCAAATAAATTCTTTCCAAATCAGCCAATGTGATTGTCTGTATTTTTTTTCTCATTTTGTCTCTCATAGTTGAGGTCTACCTATGATGCCAATTACAGGCCTCTCTTATCTGTTTAAGTGGGAGAACTTGCACAATTGGTGGCTGACTAAATACTTTTTTGCCCCACTGTACTTGGCAGAAAGTTCAATGTACACACACACACACACACACACACACACACACACACAATTATGACCACTGACAAGTAAAGTTAGTATAATCAATACCATTGATTATCTCATTATAATGGCATCTGAGGATCACTGGGACATTTAAGGCAGCAAGTGAGCACATTGTCCCTAAAGTTGGTATGTTGAAAGCAGAACAAAATGCGCAAGAGTAAGAATTTGAGCGACTTGGGCCAAATTGTAATGGTAATAGTTAGAAGACTAGGTCAGAGCATCTCAAAAACTGAAGCTCTTGTGAGATGTTCCTGGTCTGCAATAGTGAGGACCTACTACAAGATGTCAAAAGAAGGAAAACCGGCAACAGGGTCAAGGGCGGCCAAGGCTCATTAATGCATGTGGGGAGTGAAGGCTGTCTTGTGTCGTTCAATCCCACAGAAGAGCCATTGTATCCCAAGTTGCTGAAAGAGTTGATGGTCGTTCCAACAGAAAGGTGTCAGAACACACAAGGTCATGGTGCTCATGCTGATCAGTGTCCACAGCCAAAAGTGCCTACAAAAATGGCCATGTGAGCATCAGAAATGGACCAAGGAGCAATGGAAGAAGGTGGCCTTATCTGATGAATTAAAGAATGGTTTGAAGAACACAAGTTGACTTGGCCTCCAAATTCTCCAGATCTCAATCCAAATTGAGAATATGTGAGATGTGCTGGAAAAAAAACAAGTCCAATACATGAGGATCCCACCTCACAACTTATAGGACTTAAAAGGATCTGCTCCTGATGGTTTGGTGCCAGATACCACAGCATACTTTCAGAGGTCTAGTGGCATCCATGCCTTGACAGGTTATGGTGGGTGGTCATAATGTTATGGCAGATATACATACACACAAACACACTATACATCCTATACTCTACGACACAGTATACTGTACAAGTATAGTGGCACTATACACTATCAACACATGAGGAATACATACATACATACTATAGGTTACATTTACGATTAGAACATACCTGAGTGTGACCAACAGTCGCTCCTCAGCAGACACACTCCTCCATGTGTTGGTATCCGAACAGGTAAGTCGTGGTCGCAGGATCTCAAGCAGTGCATCAAAAGTGGAGATAGACATCTGGGTGAAGTTAAAAAACTTCTTTGGATATTTGCGAAGGTCTCTGTATATCGTAGCAAATAAACTATTTGTCAGCCGCTGCGACGTCAAAGGATGTGCCCAGTAGCGACGCCTGGATCTTTTCTCCTCCATCTCCCTAAACCTCCTCCTTCTCCTCAACACCACCAGCAAGATAGCTTCATCAATTAGATTCATAATGGGCTCCCTAAAACCTGCCAAAGCAAGATACTCAGAATAAAGCCAGAGTGCACACCTCTGTCATAAGCAGGGAGCTCTTGGAAGAATAAAGTGCCAATTTTACTTGTAAAGAAAGAAAGGAAAAAAAAAAAAAAAAGTGCCAAAATTCTTATGTTTTCATACTACATGAAAAGATAGCATTCTGGGATAGAAAACTGGAAGAAGAGTTTTACAGATGTGAATGTTTTACAGACATCTACATGTCTCATCTGAAGCACTTTATGTACCGTTACATGTGTTTTATGCAGGGTCCTGCCTAGAATTTTAATACAGTTGCAAGAAAAAGTATGTGAACCCCTTGGGATTATGTGGAGTTTTGCATGAATTGGGCATAAAATGTGCTCTGAACGTCATCTAAGTCACAACAATAGAAGAACACAGTCTGCTGAACATAATACTACACAAACATTAGATGTTGCCATGGTTTAATTGCACATAACATGTAAACATTCACAGTGCAGGGAGGAAAAAGTATGTGAGGCCCTAGCTTAATGCCTTCTCCCAGAGCTAATTGGAGCCAGGAGTGAGCCAACCTTGACTCCAATCAGTGTGATGATATTGGAGGTGTTGCTGACAGCTGTCCTGCCCTTAAAAAACACACACCTGTTTTGGTTTTACTGGTTTCAAGAAGCACTGTCTGATGTGAACCATGCCTCGCAGAAAAGAGCTCTCAGAAGACCTACGATCAAGAATTGTTGACTTGCATGAAGCTGAAAAGGGTTACAAAAGTATCTCCAAAAGCCTTGATGTTCATGTGTCCACGGTAAGACAGACTGTCTACAAATGGAGAAAGTTTAGCACTGTTGCTATTCTCCCTAGGCGTTGTCGTCCTGTGAAAATGACTGCAAGAGCACAGCGCAGAATGCTGCATGAGGTAAAGAAGAATCCCAGAGTGTCAGCTAAAGACCTACAGAAATCTCTGGCACATGCTAACATTTTTGTTGACACATCTACAATAAGGAAAACATTAAACAAGAATGGAGTACATGGGAGGACACCACGGAGGAAGCCATTGCTGTCCAAAAAGAATATTGCAGCACGTTTGAAGTTTGCAAAAGAGCACCTGGATGTTCCACAGCACTACTGGCAAAATATACTGTGGACAGATGAAACCAAGATTGAGTTGTTTGGGAAGAACACACAACACTATGTGTGGAGAAAAAAAGGCACAGCACACCAACATCAAAACCTCATCCCCACTGTAAAACATGGCGGAGGGAGCATCATTGTTTGGGGCTGCTTTGCTGCCTCAGGGCCTGGACGGATTGTTGTCATTGATGGGAAAATGAATTCCAGAGTTTATCAAGACATTTTGCAGGAAAATGTACGACCATCTGTCCGCCAACTGAAGCTCCGCAGAGGATGGGAACAGGACAATGACCCAAAGCATACAAGTAATTCAACAAAACAATGGCTGCAACAGCACAGAATACGCCTTCTGGAGTGGCCCAGTCAGAGTCCTGACCTCAACCCGATTGAAATGCTGTGGCATGACTTAAGAGAGCGATGCACACCAGACATCCCAAGAATATTGCTACACTGAAACAGTGGTCCAAAATTTCTCCAGATCGTTGTGCAGGTCTGATCTGCAACTACAGGAAACGTTAGGTTGAGGTTATTGCTGCCAAAGGAGGGTCAACCAGTTATTAAGTCCAAAGGTTCACATACTTTTTCCTCCCTGCACTGTGAATGTTTACATGTTATGTGCAATTAAACCATGGCAACATCTAATGTTTATGTAGTATTATGTTCAGCAGACTGTGTTCTTCTATTGTTGTGACTTAGATGACGTTCAGAGCACATTTTATGCCCAATTCATGCAAAACTCCACGTAATCCCAAGGGGTTCACATACTTTTTCTTGCAACTGTATGCTCATGTGCTCGAACCCTAAAAAGGGTGACATACCTATAATTTAATCAATATATTAAAAAGCAACAATTACTTGCACTGTGGCGAGCAGGTTGAATTTCTTGATTGTGGATATTTCTATCTGGGTCAGGCTCTTCTTCCTTCACAATCACAGGGACTATGGGATAAAACGGTACTGTAGTTACAACCCAAATCTCAATTTAATTTTCCAGACATTAGTGCTCCAAGAAAAGTTTTGCCATTGTGATCCTTATAAATCAAGCTGCAAATACACAAAAGCAGGTGTAAACCCCAAATGGAAGACATTTAGCTTACTAAAGCATTATGTACCATAAACAACGACCAACGTACATGTTCCTGAAAAGTGGCTGTGTGTGAAAATGGGTGCTGCAGCGACCACCGGCTGGAACCGAAAATGAGTGAGAGAATGTCACCAATACACCATGGATCTCCAAAACATGTCTAAAGCTCTACTCAGCCATCACATCATTATAGCAGAAGCAGGGTGGATAAAAATCAATGATTTTTTTAAAAAAATAAAAAAAAACAAAATCGGATTTTTTGGATTTAAATCAGATCAGATTTTTTTTTTTTTTTATTTAAATTGGATTTTTTTGAATAAAATGCTTTTTGAGGAAAATATATTACCATCCAAAGGTTATTCCATCATGAAATAAATATTAGTTTTTTAATTACGTAGAATAAGGCTGTATATGTTTAATTTTTTTGGTAAATAAATTCCATTAATCCATTCACAATGTCATGCTCTTCCAGAGGTTTTTGTAAGATTATTGGGCAGTTTCTCTGCCTACAAGATATTATCACAGATGCTTGGTTTACTTTTGCAGTTCTCAAAACTGAATTTGACTCAGCGGAGATCACATGCCTCTTCTTCACAGCAAAAATGTTATAACATGAACAGAGTTAAGAAAAAGACCTTCATCCTAACTTCTACAAACCTATGAATACAGAATCAACCCCTTCACTGCTAAGTTTCAAGAAGTTCAGTGAATAGAATAGAAACAATATTTTTTCTTATTGTTTGGAGTGGAATAGATCTGCACAAGAAGAAAGTAAAACTAAGTGTGAGGAGGAAGGGGCTGACAGTCTAAGTTTCTTAAAATATATATATTTTGTTTAGCCAAATTAGTTAACAAACATGGATGTTTGTGTAAGCAAATCACATATGCTGGAATGTTATTGTTTCAGATGAATAAATCTATTTAAATTGTTATTATTAAGGTAATGATTATTTTTCTCCTTCCTAAGTACAACAGGAAAGTTGTCCAAATATGAATGATTAACCTATTAAACTGGGGATAAAAAAACGAATATGAAAAGTTGTTATTTTAAAAATCTTCATCTACTTGCATATTAAAGTTATACCAGCAAGAATTAGTCTTTATGTAGAAAACTAGGATTTAATCAAGCCTTACTGACTAGTGATTTAAATCGTGATTTAAATCAGTTTGATTTAAATCAAATCCACCCTGAGCAGAAGTGTTTCGGAGCTTTGCAGGAGCATCAGGTCACATGCTTGATGAAGGGGGTTCTGTGAGGCTCAAACGTTGCTTCTACTATAATGACGTAATGGCTGAAAAAAGCTTTGGACCCGTCCTAGAGTGTCTCTTTTGCTCTGAAAAATAAATGCCATTTACGTTGCAAAATACTGCGGTCAACCTTCTTTTTTTTTTTTTTTTTTTGCATCTTGTCACTACTGATCTCCTGCCTTTTTTAGCCACTTCCTGTTAACATGCATTTTCTCAGCAACAGCTGCACATTATTAGTCCAGACCAACTTCCTGAGAATGAAAACGGTGCTTGTACAATGTGTGCCAGCACGGCCATTGTAGTCTCCATCGGGGTGTATGTGACAACATAGAAGCACAACTGGCAGAGAGCTGTCACCTACCAAGTGCCTGAACAAAGACCTCCCTGACAGAATCACCAGTGGAAGCGAACATTTAAACAGACGGAAACTACAATAACACGTTAAAGCTTATAGAAGTACATTTAGATCTACTTTAGCTTGAGAACTTTTTTGCATTTCATGAACATTCATAAAATGACAGTCATGGATGTTATTTTTCATAAAAATATTCTGCAAGCCCATTAAAACAGCAATGTTCCCTGAAATCTATATGTTCAATTTCAGGCAGAATTACCTTTAGGTCTGTTTCAAAACCTTTGCAACGTGGCTGTACGCAACACAAGCTGGTTTCACAGCTTTGCAGCCAAACTTTTTTTTCTTTTTAAAGGGGTAAGAAATGGTTAAAGTGCTACTAAACCCCGGACCCTGCATTCACTATATCTGGTCTTACACAGTACACAGAACATGGAAATGCAATTATTTTAGTAAATATACACTGCTAAATATCCTCTCATCAGCAGTTAGAGCATTCTTGAAACTTCAGCAGAGCACTGCTTGTAGGAGGAGTTTTCTGTCTAGGAGGATGCAGAACCCCTGATCTCTGTCTGGACAGTGCTGATTGGCTCTGTGCTGATCACACGCACTCTCCCAAGAAGGAAAAAAAAAAAAAACAACTCTAGCAATACACACCAAACTGAGCATGTGCATGTGGCTATGGGTTCAGTCTGTATCCAGTGGTCATTTCAACAAGGGGCAGAGAAGACAGGATCAAACAGCCTTTTTACACAATGCAGAGGATTAACCCCTTAAGTTCCACAGTGAGTATAACAAGCATGCTTTACTGGATATACAGACTGATTTTACTGTTGTGGGTTTAGTAACACTTTAAAGCAGCATTAAATTCAAAAGCAAACATTTTATTGCAGCTTACCAATTCTTAGATGTGGTGGCTGCATTCATTTTCTTTTCTAGGCTCTCTTTATTTTGACCTGGAGATCTGGCCAGCAAGTCTGTTTTTTTTTTTCAACTGAACAAGCTGTCCTATAGATGTAGCAGTTAGACGGATAAGACAAACCATTTCCACTGACAGGGGCCCTTACAATGGTCAGCTTTAAATTATGTAAAACCTTTATCCTAAAAAGGAACAAAACCATTGCTGTAACTGCTTATAAAGTGGGAGTCTGGCTTCAATCGGTTAGTGAATTTAAATCTGTTAATACATCCAACACTCCTCTCTCACCCGACTGAGAATGCTGTTTAATGAGTGTCTGTGTTGCTCCTTATGTAGGCACTCGAATACAAGAGGTGTGTTACTGACTAGATCACCAGGGGGAAAACAGAGGGGGAAAAGCTTAAAAAAAAAAAAATCAGTGCAGCTACGTCTAATTATAATTGGTAAGCTGCAATATATTACATTTTTGCTTTTAGTAAGGCTTGGAAAGCTGGTCTACTTGTGCTCCATTGGAGAGCTTCTCCCATTTTTACTCATCATTTTTAACATCAGGTCAAAAAAGGTGAAAACTCAACACTTAAACAGCAGAAGCAGGTTTCGCCACTTTAAGATTTCCTTCTATTCCTATGACAACAGTAAGACTATAGATTTTTCCCAATGACACGGGAAATAGAGCAGAGTGATCTCACCAGACAAAGTCAGCAATAAAAACTTAACAGGAATTTTGACTCTTTTCGTAATCACTTGGAAGAAAGGCAAGATACATCACTTACTTATATTTTCATGGTCCATGTTGTCGATTTCCCCTTCATCACCATGAACAGGCTCTTGCTTAAAAATGCCAGGAACCCCTGCCACAGACACACAAAACATTATTATAGTATGGAAGGGGAGATGTCCTGGAAGCTCTAAAATGAAGGAAATTCTTTGACGCGAGTCTCCATTCACACGAGAAATGAGTGTGGGCAGGCAATTTTGGGGACTTTGTGCATGTTCGCCACTTGGGGTACAGGAGCAGAGTTGCACATTTTTGGCCCCACCAACTGTTAAAACGGGAGTGCCTAAAAACTCATATAAACATGTTTTTCAAGTGGTGTCAGTCTGTGGGGCCATATAACACCACTCTTCCCCAAAAAATGTACTTAATTCAACAGGTCACAGGTGACAAGCGACACAGCACTCATTAAAATAAATAGGATTCTTCAACTTGAGCATTGGACTGCTTTGGGAATCGGGCAAAAAAAAAAAAAAAAGAGCTCAGGTATGAATGGGGCCAGAGAAAGAACAAAATTTGGTTGAAAAGGGGCATCTTCAACATACCTCTAGACATATTTGCAAATCCATGTACGCGATCAATGTAAGCAAAACTAGCAGGATGTCAGGAGACAGACACACACACTTTTGTAAATATTTGATTCTATCTTTTCATGTGACAACACTGAAGAAATGACACTTTGCTACAATGTAAAGTAGTGAGTGTACAGCTTGTATAACAGTGTACTTTTTCTGTCCCCCCAAATAACTCAACACACAGCCATTAATGTCTAAATCGCTGGCAACAAAAGTAAGCACACCCCTAAGTGACAATGTGCAAATTGGGCCCAAAGTGTCAATATTTTGTGTGGCCACCATTATTTTCCATTATTTTTGAGAGAACTCAAAACAGCAGTTGGGAAGAGGAACCCTTTCAATCTGAGAGACCTGGAGCAGTTGGTGAAAGAAGAGTGGTACAAAATTTCAGTAGTGAGGTGTAAGAAACTCATTGTTACAGGAAGTGATTGATTTCATTTATTTTTTCCAAGGGGTGTGCTATCAAATATTACAATAATTTTGTCCAGTCCATTATAGGGGTTTTGCGTGGAATGTGTCAGATTTGGCTTTTTGCTTCTCCACTTTTTTGTGCATGCCACAAAAGAAATAAACATGAGAATGCCTAAACATTTGTAATTGCAACGACTTTCTGGGCGAAGTGGTACATTATCTGACAGAAATGCAGGGGTTCCAGTATTTTTGGCCATGACTGTGTGTGTATTTATGATATAAATAAAAACACCAAGACACATCCGCAAAAAGAATAGCTTGCCTAGAGTAGAAGAAACATTCTGCAGAGGAAAGCACAACCTTACCTGCACTGTTGTTGGGAGACTCTTCTCCTCCAGCACTGTTATAATCATCTATTGAAAATCCCTCCTCTTCTGTTTTAAGAAGAGCTGCATTAGATTTGTGTGGTGAGCCTGCAAAATACACAATATGCACAAATGAAAACTAAAAGCGGAGTTCCACTCACGCTGTCAAAAAATAAAAGTCAGCAGCTGCAAAAACTGTAGCTGCTGACTTGTAAAAAACAGCCACTTACCTGTCCCTTGGTGTGTCCCCCGCAGCCCGTTTCACCGGCCGTCCTGTATTCCAGGAGGCCAGCATCTTCAGTGTGGGCACCCGGCTGTGATAGCTTGCGGCTTCACAGCCCAGTACCCACTGCGCATGTGCGAGTAGCGCTGCGCTTCATGAATGGTCCTGTAGTCTTCTGGGAGTCACGTGTCCCAAAAGACTACAGGGAGAGAGGGAGGGAGGACACCTTCCGCTTCCAATCGCCTAAGCGATCGAACCGGTAGTGGGCGCGGGTACCTGTCAAATTCGGGTATCCACTCCCCCTGCCCCCCCAAAGGTGCCAATCCTTAATGGAGAGCGGGGGAGCAGTCCTTAAAGTGGAACTTCCCCTTTTGGGTGGAGCTCCACTTTAAGTCAAATAAACAGCTAAATTGGAGCTGTCCTTTAACCTTTAAGGATAAACTGAGGTACCCTGCCTGAAGACTTTTCAATCTAAAGTGAACTGTGGTGCTGTCGCAGCTGCTTTCCCCTCTCAGCCCCCTTGCTCTGTGTAACAGTCCGCAATAGGGAGTTTAGACATCCAAAAATCTGACGCGTTTCGAGGACTTGCCTCTTCCTCAGAGCCAACTGACCAAATGTCTGCTCCCTCTTTTATATGCTCACTACTAGTTAAACCAAAGGTCACATGGGCCATCCTGGACACTCCCCTGTGCAGGTGGAGGAGTCACAGGGGCAATTGACATAGTATAAGTAAACACGAAAGGTCTATAAAAAAAAAAAAAAAAAATATATATATATATATATATATATATATACACACACACACACACACATTAAAATATATATATATATATATATATATATATATACATACATACACACACACACATATGCGTATAAATAAAACCATGTATATAGTATCGCATATGCATATCCATCCATGGTGCACTACATTGCCAGACATGCCTACGTTTCATCATATGACTATACTAGAATGAGAGGCACACACCCTGTAGGCTGCATCTCTATGAATTAATAAGTGTCTCTGCTGGGTTTCAGATCTACTCTCTATATTAAATCCATGTCCCATGGTTGTCTATGGCAAGCAGAGCACTAGGCAGCTTCGTAGCGTTGCTCATCCATCCATCCATCCATTTATTTAAAGGCGAGCAGTGCAGTGCATCACCAGGGAAGGATTTTTATTTTATTTTATATATATGTGTAACTTTCCATTTATTTATTTTTCACTGTGCACACTTCTTATGGTTCATATGATTTTATGATTGTCACTAGTTTCAATGGTTTTATTTATACGCATATGTGTGTATATATGTGTATATTTTTATAGACCTTTCGTGTTTACTTACACTATGTCAATTGCCCCTGTGACTCCTCCACCTGCACAGGGGAGTGTCCAGGATGGCCCATGTGACCTTTGGTTTAACTAGTAGTGAGCATATAAAAAAGAGGGAGCAGACATTTGGTCAGTTGGCTCTGAGGAAGAGGCAAGTCCTCGAAACGCGTCAGCCTTTTGGATGTCTAAACTCCCTATTGCGGACTGTTACTCAGCGCGGTGTTGACCCAGCTGTTCTTTTATGATGTGCCTTGACTATATTGTCGTTTGTGAGTACAACACATACTTTATTTTTCATTAAACATTTTTTATGGTAATGCACAAGGCTTGTGCGCCTTCTGTTTCGTCTTTCCTCATTCAGTATATTTGGATTTCCCCAGTCCATTTGAGGGCAGCAAGGTGTGCATGTTCCAGGACATTCTTAAAGTGGTTGTAGCCTGCATCGAGTCCATCCCCAAGCGCAGGAGCATTTGTGTTTGCTGGTCCCTTGCTCTGTCCCTGCTCTCCCGGCTTTTTGAATGGGCCCCTCTCTCCTCCTGCAGAGACGAAAGGCATTCCTAAGACAAGCTGGAGCCACGCCAGCTCCGGCCCCCCTCCCCCCAGTTGCCTAGGCGACTAGGGGGTCCAACGTCAGTTTAAGAAGCTGATGTCAGGGCACCCGAGGTATTCACCGCTGTGTAGCTGACGGAAGGAGCCAGAGCTGCGGCTGGGACCTTCCGTGGCGAGGTTCTGCAGAGACCCAAGCCTGCCTAGGACCCCCCCCCCAGAGCTGGGGAAGACTGTCTGACACTGGAGATCCGTGAGTACATGCTCTCTCCCTGCTTCACTTGAACTTTTCCTGTGCTGACCTCACACCAACCCCCCTGTTGGATTGCTTGCTACAGAGACTCACACCAAACCCCTGTTGGATTACAATTGCTACAGAGACTCTTCCTTGGCTCTCGGTGTTGGACTTTAAGTGTGTTGGTCCCTCCTTGTCGCCCTGTACTGGCGTATTCCCCCTCCCTGCGAACTTCCCTATTCAGTGACTGTCATCTGTTTGCCTCAATAAAGCTTTGTGCGTTTGCCATCTACTCTGTGTGTTCTGTCCTGTCTACCCTCCGTCACATACTGGTTGGCAACGGTGGGATCAGGACACTGAGGAGATGGCAGACAGCAAAGGCCAGCACATGGGGGAACAGGCTCGGCCCAACGAATACAGGAAGTGGACTGTGGCATGTCTGCAGGAGAGGGCCGAGCAGCTGTCCCTTACCTGGAGGGGCCTAGCCAAAGAGGATCTGGTCGCAGCCATTGAGGAAGCTGATCCCCAGGACGCCCCAGCAAGAGAGGAGAGCAGGCCAACCCCAGCCTCCCCAACACGCCATGACCAAGGGCCCAAGAGCCCCTGGCTTACTCGGGTGGAGGAAGAGATTGCCCTCCTGGGGTCAGACGCCACGGCAGAGAACAAGCGAGAGGCTATCCGGAGGGCGCATGAAAGAGAGAGCCAAGGAAGTCACCGCGAACTAAGCGGCCCTTCCAGACCCAGGGCCGCGGGTTACCCCCCTCCCAAGGAGGATTTTAAACCCTTCAATGAAGCCGCTGGGGATGTGGAGGGGTTCTTTCAGGACTTTGAGCAGCAGTGCCAACTCATGGAGGTGCCAAGCACAGATTGGATACGGCACCTTGTGGGTCTGCTAGCAGGGGGTGCAGCTGCGGCCTACCGCACCCTGGATTATGTGGATGGCCGGGATTATGCCCAGGTCAAACAGACTGTGTTGGAGTATTACGCGGTGACCCCAGAAGTGCACCGGGTGCGCTTCCGTGACCTGCCCTGTGGAGCCGTCTTATCGGATGTATGCGCACAAGATGTCGCAGTCCTGTCGGAGGTGGCTAGAGAGGGAACAGGCCCGCACTGCAGAAGAAATCATGCAAGCATTTCTGAAGGAGCAATTCTACAACCAATGCCCGGCGGAGGTGCGCGGATGGGTAAGAGAGAAAGCCCCTACCACCCTTGCAAAGGCCACTGCCCTGGCCGACGAGATCCTGGCCATCAAACCACATTGGAAACGGCGGGCCCCTGAGATGCCAAGGGCCCTGCCCCCTAGCTGCCAAGGACCCCGCCCCCCACCACCTCTGGCAAAACGGGCCCCCCACCTACCACTGCCAACTCCGCAGAACCGCCACCCAGAGCCCGGTTCACAAGGCCCCCCATGGACCGCCACTGATACGGGTGCAACCAGCCAGGGCACCTCCAAGCCAACTGCCCCACCTCCCGAAGCCGTCACTTTCCCCGTCCGGTCCACTACCTGGAGCTCCATCCCGCAGAAGAACCACTGCCCCCGCCTCCCAGCAAATGGATGAGCTTTACAGAAGACAAGCACTCCCGTGGGGGGTTTACAGTGTCCACCCCCCTGGGGCTACATAACCCGCCCAGAAACAGCGCCACCTGCAGGCCGTGTGGGTGGACGGGCAACCCGCCACCGGTTTTCGGGATACGGGGGCCTTCTTGACCATCGCCGATCCCCGAGTGATCCGGCCAGAAGCCATCCAACCCAGCCCTGGATTTGCCATCGAGCTGGCAGGAGGAGCCAGACATAATATCCCCAGAGCATCCGTGCATCTCAACAATGGGTTCATGGAGCAACAGCACCAGATCGGCGTCATGGGCGGCCTCCCGGCGGATGTTCTGCTCGGCAACGACCTAGGGGAGCTACGATGCCAGTACGTCGGGGCAGTGACCCGGAGCCAAGCAGGTTGAGGTCCTCCTACAGACTAAGCCACCACGGGACCTTTCCCCAGCATGGACTTGGTGAGTGAACCTCCACCTGACCCCGACCTTCCCCTGACCTGGGACCGGGAGACCTTCAAGCGGGAGGTAGCCACAGACCCCACCTTGGCTAAGTTTAGGACCCAGGCTGCCCGCCGCAGGAGGGGGGTGGAGACCAGCTTTGGTGGGAGCAGGGGCTGTTGTACCGCGAGGCAGGCCCAAGCCACCCGGGTCAACCCTCTGCTAGCTCCAAACAACTGATAGTGCCTAGATAGTCCAGGTTCCCGCTACTCCAGATAGCCCATGACATTCCAGTAGCCGGCCACCTGGGTAAGAGGAGAACGGGGCTGCGGATGACCCAAGCCTTCTACTGGCCAGGTATCACCCAGGACGTAGCCCACTTCTGTCAGACCTGTGACATCTGTCAGAGGAAGGGACGCCCAGGGGATCACCCCAAGGCCACGCTACGCCCCTTACCCATCATTGACAAGCCCTTTCAGCGGGTAGCTGTAGATATCCTGGGACCCCTGGCCCGGCCCAGTAAGTCCGGAAAGCGGTACATTCTCACGGTGGTGGATTACGCTACCCGCTACCCCGAGGCTGTTCCCTTGTCCAGCATCTCCGCCCCTAAAGTGACCGAGGCCCTAGTCACCGTTTTCTCCCGGGTGGGTTTCCCCAGTGAGAACTTGACCGACCAGGGTACCCAGTTCATGTCCGAGGTGGTCTAATCCCTCTGGCGCACGTGCGGGGTACAGGCGATCCGGACCACTCCCTATCACCCCCAAACCAATGGCCTCTGCGAGCGCTTCAATGGCACACTGAAGAGCATGCTGAGGTCCTTCATTGACGGGAGTCGGACTGGGAGAAGCTCCTCCCTCACCTGCTGTTTGCATATCGGGAGGTACCGCAAGAGTCAACGGGGTTCTCCCCCTTCGAACTCCTGTACGGGCGGAAGGTCCGCGGTCCCCTATCCCTGGTTCGGGAGCATTGGGAAGGGCAGATAGAGGACACGGGTACCACCGTCGTTTCCTACGTTCTCGAGCTGCGGGAGTGGCTGACCCGTCTGGCCACCATGGCCCATGACAACCTTCGGGCGGCCCAGACACACCAGAAGGTATGGTACGACTGCAAGGCACGCAGTCACGAGTTCACTGAAGGGCAGCAGGTGCTCAAGATCGTCCCCAACCCCCAGAACAAGTTCCAGCACACCTGGGAAGGACCCTACAAGGTCCTTCACAAGTTAGACGAGACTAGCTACGTCATTAGCCTCGACGCCCCCGCGACCGCCAGCAGCACACGGTCCACATCAACATGTTGAAAGAGTACCACGACCGGACTCTACCCGTGCTAGCCGTCTGCCCTGCCTCCACAGGCGGAAAAGATGAGGGAACCCTGCCTGATCTCCTGCAAGCCACCAAGGTCACCACTCCCCTAGATCAGATTCCCACGGGGGCTAAGCTGAACCCCCGCCAGACGGCCCAGATGTGGACTGTGCTAGCGGACCGTGCCGTCGCCTTCTCAGTCACCCCGGGCCGCACCAGGTTAGCCCTCCACCACATGGAGACCCACAGTCAGAAACTCATTCAGCAGGCCCCATACCGGGTCGCCGAATCTGTGAAGTCGGCCATCCGGGCCGAACTCTCCGAGATGCTCCAATTGGGTATCATCCGACTCTCCCTGCAGTCCTTGAGCCTCCCCGGTGGTGCTGGTTCCAAAAAAGGATGGGACCACCCGCTTTTGCGTGGACTACCGGAGGTTGAATGACTACACTGTCAGTGATGCCTACCCCATGCCCCGCATAGACGACCTGCGGGGCCGGCTACGTTAGCACCCTAGACCTCAGCAAGGGTTACTGGCAAATCGCCCTCACAAAAGAGGGCGTTGAGCACTCCACCTATATTACCCCGTTCGACCTGTACGAATTCCTTGTCATGCCCTTCGGCATGAAAAAACTCCCCCGCCACCTTTCAACGGGTCATGGACCAGCTACTAGAGGGATGTCAAGAGTTCACGTGCGCCTACCTAGATGACATAGCCATCTTTAGTGACACGTGGGAGGAGCACCTGGCCCACATGGGGGCCATCCTAGACCGCATCTGCAGGGCCGGGCTGACAGTGAGACCAGACAAGTGCCAATTGGGAATGGCTGAGGTACAGTACCTCGGGCACAGAGTGGGGGGGGGGCACTGAAACCTGAACCAGCCAAGGTTCAGGCCATTTATGACTGGCCCACCCCCCAGACCAAGAAGCAAGTGATGGCCTTCCTCAGCACTGCCGGCTATTACCGTAAATTTGTGCCTAATTTCAGCTCCACGGCCCAGCCCCTGTCCGACCTGACCAAAAGAACAGAACAGTCCACGGATGGTGACCTGGACCTCAGCCTATGAATCCGCCTTCCGTGACCTCAAAGCTGCCCTGGCGAGCAACCCCGTCCTGGCCGCCCCTGACCACAACAGACGCTTCCTTGTGCAGACAGACGCCTCCACCTACAGCCTAGGGGCTGTCCTCAGCCAAGTCAACAAGGCTGGGAAGGAACATCCCGTCGCTTTCCTCAGCCGCAAACTACTGAACCGGGAAGTTGCCTATGCTACGGTGGAGAAGGAATGTCTGGCCATAGTCTGGGCCCTAAAGAAACTACAGCCCTACCTGTACGGCCGGGAGTTCACCATCGTCACCGATCACAACCCCCTCACATGGCTGAACCGGGTGTCCGGGGACAACGGGCGCCTCCTTAGGTAGAGCCTCACCTTCCAGCCTTATAATTTCACCCTTCGATATAGACGGGGAAGGAAGCAAACACCAAAATGCAGACGGCCTTTCCCGCCAACAAGATCCACAGTAGCTAAGTCAGGACCCCCAAGTGCCTTCAAGGGAACCCGGTTGGGTCCCCCTTGCGGGCACTTGTGAAATGGAAGGGGGAGGAGTGTCGCAGCTACTTTCCCCTCTCAGCCCCCTTGCTCTGTCCCTGCTCTCTCCGGCTTTTTGAATGGTCCCCTCTCTCCTCATGCAGAGATGAAAGGCATTCCTAAGACAAGCTGGAGCCACGCCAGCTCAGGCCCCCCCTCCCCCCGGTTGCCTAGGCGACTAGGGGATCCGACGTCAGTTTAAGAAGCTGATGTCAGGGCTCCCGAGGTATTCACCGCTGTGTAGCTGACAGAAGGAGCCCGAGCTGCAGCTGGGACCTTTCGTGGCCAGGCTATGCAGAGACCCAAGCCTTCCTAGGACCCCCCCTCCCACAGCTGGGGAAGACTGTCTGCTAGACACCAGAGATCCGTGAGTACATGCTCTCCCCTGGCTTCATTTGAACTGTTCCTGTGCTGACCTCACACCAACCCCCCTGTTGGATTACTTGCTACAGAGGCTCACACCAAACCCCGTTGGATTACAATTGCTACAGAGACTCTTCCTTGGCCTCCCGTTGATGTCCCTGGGGCCGCGGCGGTCATGAGAGGTCCGATTGGGGCCCGGGCCTCTAGAGGCGTCCCCGCTGCGCGCTCTGCATGAGCCCTCACCACAGGTCAGACCCCACGGCCATGACCCCCGCCGCTGGGCAGTCACGCTTTACAAAACCTTCTGCTCTCTATTCCTCTCATCACGTCCTCCCATGCTTGCCTCCAGGACTTCTGTAGAGCCTCTTATCTTCTGGATATCTTTATACCCCAATCTATCTGGCTTTCTCCTAGTCTGTCTGCCTTTAACTGCACCTTTGGTATCACTTCAAATTGTTTGTTTTGGCCAAGCTGACCCAAACAAACTTTCTCCTTTACTAATAAATGAGGTTGCGGTCAGTGCTGTATACAGCATTGTGTTCCGGCAGCAGTATGAGGACTTCCTGTCTGCTGCCAGAACTTAATTGAGTTGGGCTATGCACTGCCCTGCCATTCACGGGAAGCCTTGTAACTTTAATCAATCTACACAGGACTTCCTCTGATTGACAAAGGTGGAGAGGTGGGCAGATGCAAGGCTTTCTGTGAAAGCTGAGCAGTGCATAGCCCAACTCAACTTTGTTACAGGCATGGGAAGATCCTGTACTGCATGTTGTATGTAGCCGATGCCACATACAGTTTCCACTGCACTGACAGTGACTGCATATATTAGTAAAGAAAATAATTTGTTTGGGCCGGCTTGTCCCAAACCAACTAAAGTCATAGTAAAGCAAGAGATTTAAGAGATCCATTAAATCTCATCTTTTCAGGAAAGCCTATTCCGCTCCACCTAAAAACCGACCTTTTACTTTCCCCATCAACCTTTCACGCCTTTTGTAATAGTTACCCCTCCCTTTAAATTGCAGGTTCTCATGAGCAGGGCTCTATAAGCCCTCCCCTTTGAATTCTAAATTTACTGCCTCCCTTTTTTGTAAAGAGCTGTTTAAACTGTCCAGTATAACAATTAAATGAAAAGTACAGCAATATGCTTTAACCACTTCCAGACCAGACACTTTTACCCCCTTCCTGACCAGGGCAATTTTCAGCTTTCAGCGCTATCACACTTTGAATGACAAATTGCACAGTCATGCAACACTGTACCCAAATTAATTTTTTACCATTTTTTTGCGACAGATAAAGCTTTATTTTGGTGGTATTTATTCACTGCTGGGATTTTTATTTTTTTTGCTATGTAAATGAAAAAGTCCAAAAATTTTGAACAAAAATGTTTTTTTTTATAAAATTATGCAAATAAATAATATTTCATCATAAATCTTTGCCAAAATGTATTTCGTTATCTTTTTAGTAAAAAAACAAACAAAAACAAATTCATTTATAACCAAAAATTATAATTTTTAAACATTTTTTTTTACATTTTTATATATTATTATTTTTTTTTTTTACATACTGTCACCCTAGCAGTACAGTGTCACCATGGTGACACTGTACTACTTGTGGAGGGTGATGAAGATTTTTTTTTTTTTTTTTTTTTACAATGATTGCTTTTACACCCATATAGGATGTAAAAGCAATCATTTCTCTTTCTCTCTGTGTGCATTCCTGCACTCATTGAGAAATACAGAGTGAGCTGTGATTGGTCACAGCTTGTCACATGGTACAAGGCTGTTGTGAATAGCTTTGTACCATGTGACCTCTGTGATCATTCACAGATTTCACACGTAGTAAGCAATGATGTCACAAGTGACATCTTGCTTACTACTTTGCATGTGATCACTGATTGGCCAATCAGTGATCACATGATCGGGACCTCGTACAGAGGTCCCGTCCGACGATCAGTGTTTCACTGTGTCCGGAGGACACAGCGGGCAGGGAGCGCGCACAAGCAGGGTGAGGGGAGGCCGTTCATAAACGGCCACCCGACCCTGTACTGCCACCGTCCGGCCGTTTATATGCAACGGCCGGTCGGGAAGTGGTTAAAGAGTGGAGATTTTTTTTACCTGTCAATTCTGCTTCAGTATTCAAACTGACAGGTCCAAATATTGTTTTCTCCTGCTTGATATTTAAGAAAAAAGTGGGACCAGAAGCTGCTGATAAAACACAAAAATAAAATGATAGATTGCTGCATCAATACAACAATCCAGTCAGAAATGTATATTACACAAACTCTACTTACATGTGGAAGGATAATTGTCTACAAAACAATGTTCCCCTTGACTTATTGGGGTCTCTCCAATGGGTTCTTCCTTTATCGTCACTAGAATATCAGGAAAGTCTACAATTGATAAAAATACAAAGAATTTTAATATGAATTTGTGATTTGCTAATTTGTCAACTTTCCTTAAGAACACAGCTTTTGGCATGCAGTTGTGGTGCAGCTACATTGACTTTTACAGATTGTACCCAATGACTTCTTCAGAAGAATGCAATTTATAAATGTACTGATCTAGAAATAATTCATAGATTATGTTTATTAAAAAAGTGTATCTATCCATACACACACACACGGTATAGAATCACCCACATGTTGTTGCTTTGCAGCCTGAAATGAAGGCAGACTGTTTTTGTATTAACCGGCTGTATTTACTCAGTGCAACTTATAACATCCAAGTGAAAGATATAACACCAACATGTCAGTAAGAAAAATTAAAAAACAATCACAGAGATGGAAAAAGGCTCACTCCCTTGTGCGAGTATCTTGTTGAACCTTTTGCCTGATCAAGGCTGGCCGGTTTAGTTCAATTCAATAGAAGAGCTACTATACCTCATATTGCTGAAAACGTTAATACTAGTTCTGATAGAAAGGTGTCAGAACACACAGTGCATCAGTTTGTTGTCTATGGGGCAGTATAGTTGCAGACCAATCAGGGTGCCCATGCTGACCCGTGTCCACAGCCAAAAGTGCCTACAGTGGGTACGGAGCACACAGAGCAATGGAAGTAGGTGGCCTGGTCTGCTGAATTCAACAATAGTTTGAGGAACACAACAATGAATTCAAGGTGTTGACTTGGCCTCCAAATTCACCAGGTCTCAAACCAATTGAGAATCTGTGATATGTGCTGGAAAAACAAGGCCGATTTGTGGAGGTCCCACCTCATAACTTACAGGACTTAAAAGGATCTGCTACTAATGGCTTGGTGCCAGATACCACAGCATACCTTCACAAGTCTAATGAAGTTCATACCTCAAGGGGTATGGTGGGTGGTCATACTGTCATGGCTGCTCAGTATAGATCTATTCATCTCGATCTGTTGGCAATATACATATTAGTACTCACCTTACTGGGGGCCACTTTTGCAATACTAGTCTTAAGATAAAGATAGGAAAGCATCACTTTGCAAAGGGTTGCACCCTGAATGAGATTTTTCGATAATCTGAGTACATTGAATACTGGAAGATCTCCGATTGCTGCCATTCAATGCATATCACTGCTCAAGGTACAAAGATCAAAAGTGTACAGTCCTAATCCACAACAACATAGGCATTATTGAATAAAAAAAAAATATGCATACCACAATAAAGTTTGAGTAAGACAAGCAATTATTCAATAAGAGCCAACTATGAAACTGAATATCAAAGTGCTGTGACCATTAGCAACCACTTCACTCTACAGCAGTCAGACCCATAAATATTAATTCTTATGGTTGGTATGGGTTACATCACTGTTTCATTGAAATAGTTAATGTTCCCAGCACCATTCAATTACTGCAAGTTCATTAGGATCACATGACTATCAAACCATCTATGGCACAGGTGTCAAACACAAAGACCTTGGGCCGAATCTGGCCCTCCAGGCCATTTCATGTGGCTTTTGCACCTCTCCTGTAGGTACCCCCTTGTCTCCGCCCCCTCCTTGTCTCAGCAGTCATCAGCAGAGAGGAGAATAGAACTCCTCTGCCAAATCCTGCACCTCTCAGCGCAGCTGCAGCACCTTCTCATCTCTGCCTCCTCTGGTCTCAGCATTCAGCAGACTCTGGTAACTGACTCCACTCCTCCTCCAGACCCTGCACTTTCTTCTTTCCAGCTCTGCCCCCAAAGGGGGTGCATGGTGATGTTAGAGAGGGTGCAGGATTCTTGACATCTGATGTAAGGGGGGGTGGGGTGCTTTGGACATCTAGTCTTACAGATACAACCGGCTCTATGGTTGAGGGCAACCATAATGCTGATACGGCCCGCAAGGAAATGGACTTTGACACTCCTGATCTATGGGGTATCAGTCTATGGTAGGGGTAGGCAACTTCAGCATTCCAGTCATCGTGAAACTACAAAACCCATAAGGCACTGCAAGACTGACAGCCATAAGCATGAATCCCAGAGTATTTGTAGTTTAACCACAGCTGGAGTGCCAATGTTGCCTATCCTGCCCCTTGTAAAGCTCTATTAGTGGTACAGTATGGCATCTGAAAGTATTTCGTTTTTAAGCCACTAATCTGGTATTTTGCCTGAGATCACAGCCAAAGGTATCTCGAATTCAGGCACACACAGAGGACAGGACTGTGCCATGATTATGAACATATCAGTGGTAAGTCTGGGTCATATGCTAGCACCCAACCACCATCTACAGCCCGATTTATATTATCTTTTCTAGTATACAGTATATGACCATGACATACCTCCAATTACATAACTTTTCATTTCCACAGAGTGACTATCCATATGGACAAAGGATTCATTCCGGCCTTTTATGCTGAAGACAGTGCTTGGATTCAAAATTCTATAACCTAACAGAATAGAAAGGTAATAATGGCGGGAAATTAAACTGGAGAAAAATTGTAAACATAAAGTGTATTCACACTAGTGTGATTTCAGATTCATGCAGAATCACATGACAATGGAAACCACATTTTTAAATTGGTGCCCATTCACATCAATGCAGCACAACATGACAATTTTGGAAAAGGGTGCTGTACCACTTTAGTACAATTCCAGCGCACATTTTGGTCCCATAGACTTCAAAAAAATGTTTTTGATGTGATTTTTGTTCTTTTTTTCCCCAAGTTGCAGAAGATATTCTTATTAACCAAAAACCGAGGAAAAAAAAAAAAAAAAAGCATAAAAAAAATGCAACCACACTACAACGCAGTCACACTACATAAATTGCGCTGAAAATCAGATCAAATCACAACCGCAGTAATATGAACCTAGCCTAAGTGAAAGATAAGAGTTGTCTGATAATACAAATTCTAATAAACCCAAATAAGAGAAAGGAAAAGTTGTTCTGCCAAAATGCAACGTTGTTTTGATAGGGCAAAGTTATAGCAATGCCGAACCATATCCGACCACTCCCATCTCCCACAGATTCCTATTAGACTGGACAGTGATCATCAAATAGGAATGTATGGAGGGCCAGAGAGTGTAGGTAGCTTCAGGTGACACAGCTTTGCTTGATCAAAATGACCAAGCATTCAGACAGAGCAGGACCAAGCCGCTTTAAGAGCGGGTAAACACTGATGCGGTCCGGAAGACGCTGCAAATCCTTGTGTGTTCTGCACCGCATTGCAATTGCATGGTTTTCATGCGATCTGGTGAGGGTGTCAATGTTAAATTAATGACACCCCGAAACAGATCGCAAAATGCGATGCGATTGCATGGGTGAGAACACCCATGCAATGCTATTCAGGTGCAGGTAACAAAAAAAAAAAAAAAAAAAAAAAAAAAAAAAAAAAAAAAAAAAAAAGGGTCCTGCACCTTTTGGTGCGGATGGCTCAAATTGCACAACACAGACATTGCATGTTATTCACACATGGATGTGGTGCTATTCCTGTTCGAATTACATGCACTATTCCGCACTGCATTAGTGTGAACCCAGTGTACAGCTACAATCACGTGGCTGTAACACAACTGTAAAATTTTGATTGCTAGGCAAGGCACAAAAAGATTCTGAGTAAATATATTCATTTTTTAATATGTAAGAATTGTCTTGTTTTTCAATGGTATACCTGTATAAGCATGCCTCACATGCAGATTTTTGGATTTTGTGTTATGAATCTGTGCGTAGTGCATGATGACACACCTGTGTGAATGTCTCCATTGAAACAATGCAGCTGTGTTGAGATACAAAAATTAAAAAACTTGGAAATCATTGTCATGTGTATGAGGCCTAAGGCTATGTACAGATCTTGCTTTAGCTACACTGAAAATCTTAGATCTGGATGTGCTGTCCATAAGGGCAGATCACAAGAACGGCTATAGAACATCACATCTCTTGGCAGTTAAAGAAACCCCCATATGTGTATTTTTACTCTGCATTATTCCTTTTCCTGGAATTTAGCACCAAGTTGATTCAAACTCACCTTGTGCCATTAATGTCCCATGGATGTCTTTCATCACGCTTCTGTAAACTTCTTTCTGAGAGTTATCCAGGCGTATCCACTGCTCCTCACTAAAGGAGGCAGCCACATCATGGAATGTGATGGGACCCTAGAAACATATAAAACAGCCTTAGAGAGAATGTTAAAACAGATTATTCAAGTATGGTTTCGAAAATCCAGTGCAGATCTAACCTATACAGGCTTTTTATAGTCCTAAAGAAACAGCCAACTTCAGCAGGGTTTCTTAGACTTATCTTTTAGGATGTGGAAGTACCTCCATCACTTGGAATGATTGTGGAACATCCTTGATGAAAGAGAGTCTCCTCAAAGGACAACTTCCCCTTTAGTGAAGTTCATCTTCAATCCCCTTCATCCCACACAGTGCAGGCCACCACAGACAATAGTTGCCTTCCACCCTGAGCCAGTGAGGTTTTCCCCAGCAAGGTCCTCTTTATACTGTGCATGTGTGCTTCAGCCCTATTCATTCCTTTGGGCAAGTATTAAGAGGGTCTACTGGAGGCCTTCACAAGTTTGGCGAAAGTATTTACGAAAGATGAAGTAGTCTGTTAAAGAGGACCTGTCAGTAAAAATTAAGCATTTGCAAGTGCTGCTCAGGCCTCACTTACAGTGCCTTGAAAAAGTATTCAAACCCCTTGAAATTTTCCACATATTGTCATGTTACCACCAAAAATGTAAATGTATTTTGGTACATAATTTGGAAGTGGAAGGAAAATGATAAATGGTTTTCAAAAGTTTTTACAAATAAAAATATCTGAAAAGCATGGCCTGCATTTGTATTCAGCCCCACAGAGTCAATACTTTGTAGAACCACCTTTTGCGACAATTACAGCTGCAAATCTTTTTGGGTATGCTTCTATCAGCTTTGCACATCTAGAGAGTGAAATTTTTGTATATTCTTCTTTGCAAAACAGCTCAAGCTCTGTCAGATTGGACGGACAGCGTTTGTGATCAGCAATTTTCAAGTCTTGCCACAGATTTTCAGTTGGATTAAGGTCTGGACTTGGACTGGGCCATTCTAACACATGAATAGGCTTGGATCTAAACCATTCCATTGTAGCTCTGGCTGTATGTTTAGGGTCGTTGTCTTGCTGGAAGGTGAACCTCCACGCCAGTCTCAGGTCTTTTGCAGACTCCAACAGGTTTTCTTCTAGCATTGCCCTGTATTTGGCTCCATCCATGTTCCCATCAACTCTGACCAGCTTCCCTGTCCCTGCTGAAGAAAAGCATCCCCATAACATGATGCTGCCACCACGTTTCACGGTGGGGATGGGTGTTCAGGGTGATGTACAGTGTTCGTTTTCTGCCACACATAACCTTTTGCTTTGAGACCAAAAAGTTCAATTTTGGTCTCATCTGACCAGAGCACCTTTTTCCACATGTTTGCTGTGTCCCCCACATGACTTCTCGTAAACTGCAAATGGGACTTCTTATGGCTTTCTTTCAACAATGGCTTTCTTTTTCCCACCCTTCCATAAAGGCCAGATTTGTGGAGTGCACGACTAATAGTTCTCCTGTGGACAGATTCTCCCACCTGAGCTGTGGATCTCTGCAGCTTCTCCAGAGGTACCATGGGCCTCTTGGCTGCTTCTCGGATTAATGCTCTCCTTGCTTGGCCTGTCAGTTTAGGTGGACGGCCATGTCTTGGTAGGTTTGCAGTTGTACCATACTCTTTCCATTTCGGATGATCAATTGAACAATACTCCATGAGATGTTTAAAGCTTGGGATATTTTTTTTATAACCTAACCAGTTTTTAAAAGTCTCCACAACTTTATACCTGACCTGTCTGGTGTGTTCCTTGGCCTTTGTGATGCTGTTTGTTCACTGTTGTTCTCTAACAAACCTCTGAGGGCTTCACAAAACAGCTGTATTTATACTGAAATTAAATTACACACAGATGGACTCTATTTACTAATCAGGTGACTTCTGAAGGCAATTGGTTCCACTAGATTTTAGTTAGGGGTATCAGAGTAATGGGAGCTGAATACAAACGCACGCCACACTTTTCAGATTTTTATTCGTAAAAAATCTTGAAAACCATTTACCATTTTCCTTTCACTTCACAATTATGTGCCACTTTGTGTTGGTCTATCACATAAAATCCCAATCAAACACATTTACGTTTTTGGTTGTAACATGACAAAATGTGGAAAATTTCAAGGGATATGAATACCTTTTCAAGGCACGGTAGACTCGAGGTTGGGGGGGAACCCTGCATAAGTTGCTGAGGCAGCGACTGGGGGTGTACACACCTTGTGGCAGAAATTATACCCCCTATCGCACTAAGTGGGTGCTACCACTTGCCAAGTGCAACCCATTCAAGTGAAAGGTGCTACACTGCAACTGCGCACAATGCACATGGTTGTCTGGTAATTAGGGGGTTAAACCAGGTGGTGAAGAGATGGTAAAAAACACCTCCTCACTGGCTGTCCTTTGCTGTCTGAAATGTGGTCTGAAAACGGATCACACTTCAGACAGTAATCCAAGTGTAAATGAGGTCTTATAGCTGTGCCAACACGTGATTTGTAAAAAGATCCTCGGACATTGTTGTCATCATCATATGTTGAACTGTAAAGAGTCGGCCAGTATACCCAGGTCTGAAGGCTACTTTGGAGTTCTCATGGTATCCGGCTATTTTTCTATAAATAAAAATAATGCTGTGACAAAGAGCAGCCTCTGATGTGTATAGACTGGCCAATCAGGTCAGCATACAGTAGGATCTTGGGAGTTGGAAAAAGTTTTTAGGATTGTAACAGCAGCGATTCTTGTTGAAATCAGCCAAAATAAATCATGTCGGTGACTTTGTTAGCTTGACAAAAGTTGATTTTGCAAATCGCCCTGTCTGTGGAGCTGGGTGGAAATTTTTTGGCCGAACAGCATCTGCATGCAATCAGATGCAGCCACTGATTAGGTATTCAGGCACCTGTGGGTGTCGGTTGTTAGATTACAACAGCCGGCATTGCAGAGTCTATTTAGCGTGGATGGGGGAATCAAGTGACTTTTCTCCTTCAGCCTTGAGGGGCTAAATGAAAGAAACCCAAGGTGTACTGCCAGCTTTAGTCCAATTTATAAAAAAATGGAAAAATGAAAAAGGTGTCTGTGCTGCCAGTAAAACTCAGTTAGAATATTCCTTTCATTTTCTAAAAACAGCTGCAATCTAATTGGTTTACATCAGCAAAAACAGATATTTCCCCGTCTTGCTTTGTACACCACCATGATACTCAAAATATAATTATTGAAAAAAAATGAATTTACCTGACTGGTCATTTCTTCTTCAGTAGTTCTCAGTAAGTAAAATCGTTGATCTGTGAGGACCAGATTTACAGGTTACATGCAAGTCCACGTACAGCTCTTCACAGGATCAGGGAAAAGTTAGAACCCTTCAAAATAAATCAAACGTTAAAATAAACCTCATTAAAAGGTCAAAGTGTTATTTATATTTCAGGTGAATTATTGCCGAGCACTGGACTATGTTACTGAGCAGCACAACAAATGTTAATAAGTTAGGGCTTAAGCCTAGTACACATGATCAGAAAATTGTACGAAAAATACCGCTTTCAAAAGCGATTGCATGATAATCTGATCATTAGTACACAGCTTTCGTCCAATTATTTGAAGGGATAAGCAAGAAAAATTCTCGTACTATACCAGCTCGTACAATTTTTGTTTCGGCTGAAAATATAATACAAACACATTACATCACTTCCGCATTTTCTTTCTGTCATACAAGAATTTTTGTAACTTTAATGTACGCTCAACATTAGAAGTGGGTGGATGCAAGGCAGTATATTCTAAAGGTGGGCATAATACATACTTCATCTGGCAGAGATTTCTTCTCTTTTTTCATTCAGCTCACAGGCTGCATGAAAAAAAAAAAAAAAAAAAAAAAAAAAAAAAAGGAACATATATGACCAACAAGGACCAGTGACATAGGTACATCACTGGACTTTGAGTGGTTAAACCAAGATCAGTCATCATCCTGGTATCATTTTTCTCATCCGGCAGTCTGCTTTCATGTAAAAGCAATCCTAGCTGCTAATATACCCCCAAAAATGTTTTTGTCATTTTCCAAAAACTTGGTGACACTATGTAAAAAAAAAAAATTTTTTTTTCAATTGTTATTCCATTTTTCTCTTTTCACTGTAACCAGAGCACTGTGACCAGGGGCGGACTGACAACTCATGGGGCCCCTGGGCAATAGGGGATCATGGATCAAAAAAGCTTATGAAAAAGGTACGAGGGGCATCTCATGGGGCCCCCTACTGACCCCGGGCCCTCGGGCAGTGCCCGAGTTTCCAAATGGTCAGTCCGCCCCTGACTGTGACCAGTCTTACCATAATAACATTGTACTGCTCTGGGGAAGTGATCAGGATTTTTTTTCCTTTACATTATGATTGCTTATGGGGGTGGAGCTAGACATTCTTTCAGAAAGGGGAAAGTTTGGAGCCCCCCCCTTCCCTTACCGGGACAAGGTCATTCATTGCCCAGGGCAACAAACTGCAAGCCCCCCCCCCCACATCGACACTGTCATGGAAATTTTGTATTTACAGGTTGAACTTTAAATGTGTCATATATTAGTGTTATTCATATGTCTCTCGTGTGGCTTAATTAAAGCTCTGAAGGCTGCAATTGGGCCATGCGCATGTACAATGTATGTATTACAGTACTCAGCTCGGTAATGGATGAGATGGCAAATCTGCGCTTATAGACCGGCGTGTATACCACCACGGCATTCAATGCGAATGCCGCCGGCGGTAGGCCGCGGGCCTGTATCCACATATCAGCAGCATAGTACCACATGGACTCCATACCGCAAGGCGCCAAGCAGTGCGAACTCCGCGTGTAGGCTCATGTATATCTTACAAACCATTACCAACCTGAAACTGTATCTGGATGGATGTGTTTTAATAAAGATCGTATCGGGCCCATCCAGATACAGACTGATGTTTCTAGGGAATGCTTGTACAGAGAATTTACATACCACTAGGAGCTAGGACAGGAATTCTGCTGACCTCAGAGGGCTCATGGGGGAGGACCAGTGATAGATAATAGGAAAGGCTACGCTCCAATCGGAATGTACATCCTGTGTATAGGCACTCCCCATTGCATTGTGCTGTGGGAGGTGTTTGACCTTATTCATGTGGGGGGCATGTGTCTGCTTGTAAATAAAAATCGGAGGCTGGAGTTGGATCCGCCCCTTTTTGTGAATTCGAACAGCAACCTGAGAGTGTCGCCTGATCATTCCTGGGTAATGGAGCTCCAATTCCCCATATCTCAACAGAAGCTAACCCAGTTGGAGGCGCAGGAATTGTGGGGCTAAGCTGCAGTCGTGGTAAGCGAGATTCGCACAGCTTTATGGGGGATTTCTGCGCATCCAACTGCGAGTACTCACGGTAAGGAAAAATTCGTTAAAAGCGAATTTCCAAGACAACACCAACCGGTGGAGCTCCTGATAAAGACTAATATATAACCCAACTGCAAAAAAGTTCCCCCAACACTATTCATAGTACATAGAATCTAAAGAATGAGGCTGCTGTGACCATTGAAATATAACATATACACTTTATCAATACTATTAATAGAGCGTATATACTATATTTCAAATGATCACAACAGCCTCATTCTATAGATTTCATTTATTATGAATAGAAATTTGGGGGGTTTGTGGGGCTCTAATTATATATTTTTGGAGTTGGGTTACATCACAGTTAAACCCACCCCTTCTGGAGCCCAGTGGGAGCCAAACCCCACAGCTGCTGGCTGCATCTATACCAGGGGTAGGCAACCTCAGTAGGTAGAGATCTGCCTGAACAGCATGGAAGTGATCAAAGATCACTGGGGTTCAGCGCCCTTTTTTTATTTTTCTGTTTCTTTTCAATTAACTAGCAAGGCCCAAATAGTTAGGGAACATTATTTAGAAAAATATAATAAAAGAAATGGCACTGTAAAAAAACAACTATTAGACTTACCGGTAACAGCATTTCTACGAACCTTCCAGGACGGCACACCTGAGAGATGAGGGGCTCCTCCCTACAGGAAACACAATCAATTTACAGCTGTTATAAGTGCCCTCCCTCACCCTTGTCCTCCAGTTTGTAATAAAGTAACCACCGAAACCCGTCCACAAGGGGAAGCATTATACATAGGCACTCATCGATTACTACTTCTAGGGGTTTCCTTCCCTCCCTTACTAGGGTGGGAAGTAGGCCTGCAGTCCTGGAAGGTTCGTAGAAATGCAGAATTATTACGTAATGAACACACTGAGTGATCAATACAGATCACTCACTGTGTTCAATTAGGAAAGGAAGGGGCCGTTAAATTACATATTTACAGGCACCACCCCCACTCTCCATCCGGAAAAGATGATGGTGTAAGCGGAGAGGAGGCGATCCAGCAGTGCTGCGAAGGGGGGGGGGGGGGGGAACCAGGTGAGCTCACAGTGGGAGAGGGCAGCAGAAAATGTCACTTCATCAGTGATGGGGATAGGACAGTGGCGCGTCAGTCAGCGATGGGGATAGGACAGTGGCGCGTCAGTCAGCGATGGGGATAGGACAGTGGCGCGTCAGTCAGCGATGGGATAGGACAGTGGCGCGTCAGTCAGCGAATGGGGATAGGACAGTGGCGCGTCAGTCAGCGATGGGGATAGGACAGTGGCGCGTCAGTCAGCGATGGGGATAGGACAGTGGCGCGTCAGTCAGCGATGGGGATAGGACAGTGGCGCGTCAGTCAGCGATGGGGATAGGACAGTGGCGCGTCAAGTCAGCGATGGGGATAGGACAGCGGCGCGTCAGTCAGCGATGGGGATAGGACAGTGGCGCGTCAAGTCAGCGATGGGGATAGGACAGTGGCGTGTCAAGTCAGCGATGGGGATAGGACAGTGGCGTGTCGGTCAGCGATGGGGATAGGACAGCGGCGTGTCAGTCAGCGATGGGGATAGGACAGTGGCAATGAGAGGACAGTATGTGATTTGTCAGGGATATTCAGGGGGATGTCAGTTTTCTCTCACGTACCTCCTTTATGTCTTAGTCCCTGGCTCCCACCCTACTCTGGTCCCTAGACCTGCTCGGTCTCTCCCCAGTACAGGCAGCCTCACCCTACCTGCATTTCCGGGCACGGGGGCAGAGCCAAACTTAGTCCGCCAATCACAACCAGTCACCAGCTAACTTGAGGAAGATGGGACAGTATGTGATTGGTCAGTGATGTGCACAGCGGGGGTGTGTCAGTTTTCTCTCATCTGCCCTCTCCATGTCTCAGTCACTAGCTCCCCCCACCTCCCTTGGCTTGTACACTCATCCAGTCCCTGGAACCACTCAGTCTCTCACTGGTATAGGTGCCTCACACTGCCCGCATTTCCCCAGAGGCTGGACACAGCAGCATCAGAGGCAGAGCTGGCCTCACTCCATCAATCACAACCAGTCTCCAGCCAACTTGGGTGTGTCCTCCAGTCACCTGCTGCTATCACTGGGTCCCAATGCCAGGGAGAGACACAGCAGGGATCATGCTGATCGGGTCATTACCGTCATGGATCTGATTACCGGCACATCCACCACCAATATTATTAGTACTGCTGCTAGTAAAGGTGCAGTCTACCCCCCCTCCTGGCCTCCCTTTCATTGCAGCGCCTGTAGCACATGAAACCCCCCCCCCCCCCCCCCCCCCCCCCCCCCCTAGTTTTGGCCCTGCTTATACCAGTAAATTTCACTGATATAAGCAACCATTTTTACTGCATGAAATTAATTCAGTGCATAGTTGCCAACGGTTCTGAATATTGAACAAATCTCTCGACAAAACCTTGTCCCGGGTTGAATCCCGGAAATCAGAGATGCTCATGGGCACAGTGTGTTTCTGTCATTCACATTGACCGCGGCTGGCACCACAACTGGGACTGAAGTGTTGGGACTTTGACACTGTGCCGCCGATGCCCGCACTGTTGCACACAGACATTCATGATGTGTCGCATCGCGTTTACAAGTGAGGTGTGCTGTTTGCCAGCTGGCTGTTAACATGAATACACAATAGAATAATGTGGGGACAGATCCCTCTCCCTGCTTCCGATCCTCCCCTAGCAGATGTTCAGGTGCTCTCTCTGGACTGAATAATCTCCAAGGCAGAGCCTGTAAAGCTTTGTCCTGCATTGTGAATGGGCAGTGTGGCTGGTCTCAGAGATAGTCAAAGGAGTCTGGCTTCAGACTGGAGCTCCACTTTCGACAGGAAACGTGACCTCCACTCCACCATTTTTTAAAAGTGAATTTTAATCTAACAAACAACCAATCACCGCAGACTGGAGCTCCACTCGATAGGAAACATGTGACCTTCACTCCAACTTTTTTTTTTAAATGAACTTCGATGTAACAAAACAACCAATAGACAACGCGAGGAAGTGGAGACCCATGTTTCCTGTCACATCTGTATTGCCCAAGACTGGAGCTCCACTCTCCACAGGAAATCTGTGACCTCTAGATTTTTTTTTTTTTTTTCATTTCTTTTAATCAAATTTAACCCTTTCACTGCCAGAGCCATTTTTGCATATTTTTGGAAAGTTTAAAAAAAAAAAATCAGTTTAGAACTGAAGATTGGTAAAACATTAAAGACAAGGTTGCACCAAGCAACACGTCAAACCTTAAACTTGCGTGCCCCCATGAAATGACGGCAAACTTCAGTACCCTAGATTTTCTCTTGGTGACGCTTCAAAAGCCTCCTATAGGTCATCAATTTAGTGTGTTGAGGAGGAGGTCTGGTGCTAAAAATTACTCTCACTCCGGTGCGCGCGGCAATATGGAACACGTGTATTGCAACTGACATGTTCAAGTGTAAGCGCACCCGGTGCATGTTTACGTTCATACGCATTTGTGGGGGTGGGGAACTCCATTTTTGGGGGGGCTTTTATGTGCGTTGGTGTAATTATTTTTGCATCTCAAATACCAGCCCCTCCCCCCTACAGACAGACCACTAATCCCCCAAATACTACCCCTTCCCCCCACTGACAGACCACCAATCCCCCCCAAATATGACCCCCTCCTTCCACTGAAAGACCCTCAACACCCTCAAAAAACCCCCTTCCCCCACTGACAGACCCCCAACTAGGGTTGCCACCTCATCCCTTTAACTGCTTCCCAACTGCCCTATAGCAGAACTACTACTGCTGCAGTGCTTCGCAAAATCACGAATGTATACCTGATTTTGTATTTCCAGGTAGATGTTGTGCACTCTGCCCAACCTGCACCACCATTGGCAGCTTCAGCTGTTAATCACCAGGTCCTGGACGGCGATTCCCCAATGGCACACGCCGATCTCCGAGGAACACTGACAGAGGAGAGGTCTGTATGTAAACAATATAGATCTCTCCCTGTCAGCACCAGCACACTGCTTTGTATTGCTCTGCATCACTGATCACCGCCAACACTAGTAAAAAAAAAAAAAAATTCCAGTATCTATACTGCCATTTGTAGATGCTTTAATGTTCATGTAAACTGATTAATTTAAATGTATTGGGATTTTTTTTTTAACAGACATGTAGCATAACACATTTTGGCCTATTTTTTTTTACTGGATATGTTTTATAGCAGAAAATCAAATATATATTTTTTTTTTTCAAAATTGTTGGCCATTTTTTGTATATAGCGCAAAAAATAAGGCGACCAAATACCACCAAAAGAAAGTTCCATTTGTGGGGAAAAAACATAAATTTAATTTGGGTGCAGCATCACATGACCATGCAATTGTCAGTTAAAGTAACGCCGCGCCATATCACAAACAATGACCTGGTCAGGAAGGGGGGTAAATCCTCTGGAATGGAGGGCAAGTGGTTAAAACCAAACACACAAGTTACACAGGTTCTGTGGCTGATTAAGATGGAAATTTAACTCACCTAGTGTCTTACCTGCCTTAAATTAGCCTTAGAACCTGTGTAATTAATATGTGTTCGACTTTAACCACTTCCCATCCGGCCCATGTACATAAACCGCCAGAAGGGAGCAGTGCAGGAGTGGGTTGGCCAATCAGTGATCACATGAATAGTAGTAAGCAAGATGTCACTTCCTGACATCATTGCTTACTACGTGTGAAATCTGTGAATGATCACAGAGATCACATGGTACAAGGGTATTCGTAATAGCCTTATACCATGTGACATGCTGTGACCAATCACAGCTCTCATAGTATTTCTCAATGGCTGCAAGAATGCAACCAGAGAGATGGAGAAATTATTGCTTTTACAGCCTTTATGGTGTAAAAGCAATCAGTGTAAAAACAAAAGAAAAAAAATCTTCATCGCCCCCCACAAGTAGTACTGTGTCACTATACTGTTAGGGTGACAGTATATTAAATAAAATCAAAATTTTAAAAATGTTTTTGAAAAATTATAATTTTGGTTATAAACTAATTTGGGTTATTTTTTTTAATAAAAAGATAACTGAATACATTTTGGCCAAGATTTATGAGGAAAGATTATTTATTTGCAAAAGTTTATAAGAAAAACACTTTTTTCAACATTTTTGGACTTTTTCATTTATATAGCAAAAACAATAAAAAATCCCAGTGGTGAATAAATACCACCAAAATAAAGTTTTATCTCAAAAAAATGCTAAAAAATTAATATGGGTACAGTGTAGCATGACCGCGCAATTGCAATTCAAAGTGTGATAGCGCTGAAAGCTGAAATTGGCCTGGACAGGAAGGGGAATGAAAGTGTCCAGACTTGAAGTGGTTAAAAGGGATGCGGTGGCAACCCTAGCCCCAACCCCCTCCTTCATGCTACAGCCGCTGTAAAATAGTCTTCCCCGCCCCCCCCCCGATGTATGGTGACCCATGCTTGTGTTGTAGTGTGGCATGTAAGGAGTTAAAGGGTTAGTTCACTTTTAAGCGCTTTCCTGCCGTCCTATAGCAGATGTACTGCTATAGGGTGGCAGGGGTGCGCAAAATCACGTATATATACATGACTTTACATTTCCAGGTAGGGGGCGCTCGCGCCCTGCCCATGCCCCTATTTGTGGCCTCGGCTGTCAATCACCAGGTCCCGGCCGGTGGTTACTCGCCGGCACCCGGTAATCGCTGAACATTAGATGGAGGGACAGAACTGTATGTAAACAATATAGTTCTCTCCCGTCAGCTCCTGCACACTGCTTTGTATGGCTCTGCATAGCAGAGCCATACAAAGCAGTGTGCTTACAGTTGAAAGCACAAACACAGGACACAATGTAAAACAGCACACAGTTAACCCTTTGATCGCCCCATATGTTACCCCCTTCCTGCCCAGTGCCATTAGTACAGTGTCAGTGCTTTTTATTAGCACTGATCACTGTATTGGTGTCACTGGTCAATGTCAGTGACACCAAGTCAGTTTTCCCCCCCAGTGTCAGAATGCCCGCCGCAGTCCTGCTATAAGTTACTGATCGCCACCATTACAAATTAAAAAAATCCCAGTATATATACCGCCATTTGCAGACGCTATAACTTTCACATAAATCAATTAATTAATACGTTGGGATTTTTTTTAGCAAAGTCATTTGGCAGAATACATTTTCGCCCAAATTTGTCTAAATTTGATGTTATTTATCTTTTCACTGGACATGTTTAATAGCAGTCAAAACATTTTTTTTTCAAATTGTCTTTTTTGTTTATAGGGCAAAAAATAAAAACACAGACGATCAAATACCAGTGACAAAAAGCTATATTTGTGGGGGAAAAAAGGACATAAATTTCATTTGGGTGACCACGCAATTGTCAGTTCAAGTTACAACATCACCAAAAATGGCCTGGTCAGGAAGGGGGGTAAATCCTCTGGACGGCGAGTGGTTAAAGGGTTAGTTCACCTTTAACCACCTTCCGCCCGCCCTATAGTACAATGACGGGTGCAAACTGGTTCTCTCGTTCTGATAGGACGTCATACCATTCTCACTGCGCATGTGCGGTTCAGGGAGCGCGCAGCGCGGGATCGCCGGCGCGCTGTGTCCCTCGGACACAGCGGATCACGGAAAGTGCCGAAGATGTCGGCTCTGTCATGTGATCAGCTGTGTCCAATCACAGCTGATCACATGTAAACACGGAAATGCCGGTTATCGGCATTTCTCTCCTCTCGAGCTGTCATGCTGACAGCTCGAGGAGATTAGAACCGGTAATCGGCTTTCCGCGGAGGGGACATGTACACTGATCATCAGGGCACTGATGATCAGTGTGCCCTGATGATCAGTGTGGCCCCAGAAGTGCCACCTGTCAGTGTCCATCGGTGCCACCTGCCAGTGCCCATTACTGCCACATCAATGCCACATATCAGTGCATACCAGTGCACATCAATGCCACATATCAGTGCCCATCTGAGCTGCCTTTCAATGTCACCCATCAGTGCCAGTCAGTGCCACCTATCAATGCTGCCAATCAGTGCCACCTATCAAGGCCAGTCAGTGTTGCCTATCAGTGCCAGTCAGTGCCGCCTAACAGTGCCAGTCAGTGCCGCCTAACAGTGCCATGTATCAGTGCTGCCTTTCAGTGCCCATCAGTGATGCCTGTCAATGCCCATCAGTGCAACCTACCAGTGCCTCCTCATCAGTGCCACCTATCAGTGTCCATCAGTGCAGCCTATCAGTGCCCATCACTGCAGCCTCATTAGCGCACATCATTGAAAGAGAAAAATCACATATTTACAAAATTGTATAACAAAAAACTAAGAAAAAAAATTTTTTTTTTCAAAATTTTCAGTGCTTTTTGGTTTGTTTAAAAAAAATAAAAATCCCAGAGGTGATTAAATACCACCAAAAGAAAGCTCTATCTGTCTCAAAAAAATGATAACAATTTCATATGGGTACAGTGTTGCATGACCGCGCAATTGTCATTCAAAGTGTGACAGCGCTGAAAGCTGGATATTGGCCTGGGCAGGAAGGGGGTATAAGTGCCCTGTAGGCGAGGGGTTAAATAAGCTTCCTATGTTCCCGTTAAGGGGCCCATAATAATAACAAGCACTGTGCAGATTCAAAAATAATCGGTTCCTTTCATTATCTTTGGGTCTCCGCAAAGCTGCTACTTCCTGTTGCAAGTCTTTGAAATGTCACATTTAGATGAAACGTACCTCCCTGACCCCGTACGGATACGATTCTCCTCTGTGCGATTTCCTCAGTCCCATGATGCCTTGCGCTGTTCTCTTTCTTCCTGCGCTCTCTGTGACGCCCCTCCCCCTCAGTACCAGAATGGCTCCTTCGCAAATAATTGCATGAGCGACAGTGTGCTTTCCGACACCTGTCTGTGGTGCTTTCCGACACCTGTCTGTGATGCTTTCCGACACCTGTCTGTGGTGCTTTCCGACACCTGTCTCATGCCCCCTTCCTCTCCCCACCTCAACCCCGTGCAAGGCTTGTGTATATACCTGCTGATCTACAAAGGCAATTACAAAGTCGTACAATGGGAATAAGTAGTGGAGGGAGAGGGGGATGAGAAAGAGGGAAAAGAGACGGAAAAGAGATAAAGAAACCCATATATATAGAGAGGGAAATATATACACAAAGAGAACGATATAAAACCTGCGCTTGGATATATACACATTAAATAATAATAGAAAATAATAAAATAGAAGCTGCTTGCATACAGAGGCAAATCCAAAATGAATAAAAACAAAATGCAGCGCTGATCAATAATATATTAAATGATCAAAAAGTCCAAATGATGTTCAAATAAACTGGGATATATTGCAAGAGAAGAGTCCGGCAAAAAAACATCACCAAGGCACCCAAATAGATAAGCCCCTTTCTGGACGTTCAGACCGGAACACACGGGTCAATATACACAGCCCAAAAGGGATCAATAATGTGGATGATATATCTGAAGATCCTTTCAGCTATATCCTTTGTTTTATACAAAGAGAACTATAGTCTACCTAATCCTGGAAACAAAAACCTCATAGCCCCATGCGTTATCATAAAACTTACAAATCCCAGGGCATTTAAGCGTATACATGTGAAAAATCATCTAAACATAAATTGTGCAGCATTATGGGTGAGACTACCCTAAACGATTCCCTTTTCAGCTTTTCAATTAGTACGTGGGAAAAAAAATTGCACACACAACATATACAGTACACAATTTCCCAGAAGGAGGACCTAATTCCCCTATATCAGTGATGGTGAACCTTTCAGAGACCGAGTTCCCAAAGTGTAACCCAAAGCCCACTTATTTAAGTGCCAACACTGCAGTTAGACCTGAATACTGAGGTTTTAGTTTAGAAAAAACAACCCATACATGAACATCTTTTGTCTTAAAAGAAAAACACAAACAGAGCTTCCACTGACCACCAGCACAAGGGGGCAAAGTTCCACTGACCACCAACACAAGGAGGCAAAGATCCACTGACCTCCAGCACAAGGGGGCAAGGTTCCACTGACCGCCAACACAATGGGCAAAGTTCCACTGACCTCCAGCACAAGGGGGCAAAGTTCCACTGACCACCAACACAAGGAGGCAAAGATCCACTGACCTCCAGCACAAGGGGGCAAGGTTCCACTGACCGCCAGCACAAGGGGGCAAAGTACCACTGACCGCAGCACAAGGGGGCAAGGTTCCACTGATCACCAACACAAGGGGGCAAAGTTCCACTGACCTCCAGCACAAGGAGGAAAGGTTCCACTGACCACCAACATAAGGGGGCAAAGTTCCACTGACCTCCAGCACAAGGGGGCAAGGTTCCACTGATCACCAACACAAGGGGGCAAAGTTCCACTGACCGCAGCAAAAGGGGGCAAAGTTCCACTGACCTGCAGCACAAGGGGGCAAAGTTCCACTGACCTCCAGCACAAGGGGGCAAGGTTCCACTGATCACCAACACAAGGGGGCAAAGTTCCACTTACCGCAGCACAAGGGGGCAAAGTTCCACTGACCTGCAGCACAAGGGGGCAAGGTTCCACTGATCACCAGCACAAGGGAGCAAAGTTCCACTGACCTCCAGCACAAAGAGGCAAGGTTCCACTGACCACCAGCACAAGGGGGCAAGGTTCCACTGACCACCAGCACAAGGGGGCAAGGTTCCACTGACCGCCAGCACAAGCTGAAATGTCGTGTTGATAAAAACAAATGTATTAAAACTCACAGCCAGTCCAATATATATATCCTTGGTAGCGCACTGACCAGCCATGCAAATACTTGGACGAGTCGCGGGTAATAAGTCGCTACTCGTGACGTCATTGCCTGGTGCCGCTACTCCTTTCCGAGTATGCACATTGGCCCCTATGTGCACTGTTATCCATTGCTCGGCGCTGCCCGCTGTGGCACGTGTTCCATAGGTTCACCACCGCTGCCCTATATAGATCTTTAGTTAGACCTCATTTAGAATACTGTGTCCAGTTCTGGAGACCTCACTTACAAAAACATATTGATAAGATAGAACAAGTCCAGAGACGGGTAATAAAAATGGTGAAAGGTCTGAGGGATAAAACATATCAAGAGCGACTTCAGGAACTTAATATGTACAGTCAGAAGGAAAGAAGGGAAAGGGGAGACATGACTGAAACCTTTAAATACATCAAGGGGGTGAAAAAAGTGCAGGAGGGCAGGATTTTCAACACGGAATCAAAATCAAGAACACGGAGACATGACCTGAAACTAACTGGAGGAAAGTTCAAAACTAATCGCAGAAAGTATATTTTTACTGAAAGAGTAGTTGATGCTTGGAATAAACTTCCAGCAGAGGTAGTGAGCCATTCAGCAGTAAATAGCTTCAGATATACTTGGGACAAGCATAGATCTATACTCTAGAAAGAAAAAAAAACCTAACTCCCCTCCCCCCCAAAAAAAACAAACAAAAAAAGAAAACACAAAACACACACATACACACGCATGAAAAAAGGGCAGAGTCGATGGACCACTCGGTCTTTTTCTGCCGTTACGTTTCTGTTTCTATAATCCTCCAAAAGTGATTAGTGGAAAATAAAATTAAAATCCTTTGTTTACTAATGCTGATATATCAGGTGCTTCTCAGCCCTCATAACGGGGAAGTCTGTGGAGGGGTGAGCGCATATGCTTGTTGTGGAATGTGGTGTTTTGAAGAGGGATTTTTTTTCTGAATATATCAGCATTACTATTACCCTTGGGAAATGCAGATGTGACAGGAAACATGTGACCTCCACTTCACCGAGTTGTATCTATTGGTTGTTTGTTACATTAAAGTTCATAAAAGTAGGGCAGCACAATGGCTAAATGGTTAGCACTTCTGCCTGGCAGTACTAGGGTCGTTGGTTCGAATCCCAACCACAGCACCACCTGCCTGGAGTTTGCATGTTCTCCCTGTGCCTGCATGGGTTTCCTCCAGGTACTCTGGTTTCCTCCCACACTCCAAAGACATGCTGGTAGGTTAATTGTATCCTGTCTAAATTGGCCCTAGTATGTGTATGTATGAATGAGTTAGGGACCTTAGATTGTACACCCCTTGAGGGTTAGGGACTGATGTGAATGTACAATATATATGTAAAGCGCTGCGTAAATGGATGGCGCTATATAAGTAACTGAAATAAATAAATAAAAGGAAAAAAAAGTGGAGTGGAGGTCACATGTGTCCTGTCAATTGGAGCTCCAGACTGCAGCCATTGGATGTTTGTTAGATTAAAGTTAATTTTGTGCTACTTTATTTTTTTTGCAAAAAATTTTTATTTTTTTGTTGATCGCCACCATTACTAGTTGAAAAAGAAAATTCCAGTATCTATACCGCCATTTGTAAACACTATAACTTTCATGTAAACCAAGTAATTTATACATATTGGGATTTTTTTTAGCAAAGACATGTAGCAGAATACATTTTGGCCTAAATTTATGACGAAATTTGATGTTTTAATTTTTTTTTACTGGACATGTTTAATAGCAAAAAGTCAAAAATATAGTTTTGTTTCTCAAAATTGTTGGTCTTTTTTTTTTTTTATCTGGAGCAAAAAATTAAAAACGCACAGGTGATCAAATAACACCAAAAGAAAGTTCTATTTGTGGGAAAAAAAGATGTAAATTTAATTTTGGGTGCAGCGTTGCATAACAGCGCAATTGTCAGTTAAAGTAACGCAGCGCCGTAATGCAAAAAATGGCCTGGTCAGGAAGAGGGGTAAATCCTCAGGAGGGCAAGTGGTTATACAAATACGGTGACTATTTGTTTATGGTAATATTGCATTGCTTATACTTTGTTTCCTGTTGCCTCTTTTCATTTCTATACAAGAAACATGGTGATGTACTGGAAACTTTGGAAATACCAGGTAAAACTCCAGACACAAACTTGAAGAAAACAAGCTGTCCCCAACTGGGACCTAGCCAGGCTCATGCCTGCAAAGCTAAGTGACTTGAAAACCATCTCACAGAGTATACATATAAACAATTATGTCACAATGCATATATTTCCTCTTTCACTTTCTGTACATTCAAAATACTTTCTAAACTCTGCAGAATATGGCCTTGCTAGATCATTTAT